CAGTTGGTTATGAGCAAGCTAATTGGTAAAGTGTTCTTGTGAGTAAACAAGCACATAACCAATCGAATAAGCAAAGTTGCAAGAAGCAAAAAAATTCAAAATGTTGACATACAGCATTCCTGCATACAGTTGTTCAGCCTATATAAATAGAGAGAAAGAGAGAGAGCGAGTAGTTCAGTGACAACGTCTCCGACTGTGAGGCTGGTAGACGCGGAATCGAAAGCATTTCTTCAGTCGAGGATAAAATTACAACATGTTGACGACGGCGTTTAGGTTTCCTATACTTCTTACTGCAACAATATATATATATTTATATATATATTTTTTCATAGTTTGCAATATGTGTCGATTTTGACCACAGAAATTAATCATATTATCAAGGAATAGAAATTAATGGTGCCTTATCTAACATTCATTCTCCGTAGAGACTCCATTCAGTTATTGAGCTTATCGGATAAATAAGATCATTGATTATTTCCATTTCAAAGTGCCATCACTCATTTTTTCTAAATAAACTAACAGTTAAATCCAGCTTGTTCGATTTCTGTTGTAATTTGTGGTTTGACTGCTAACTTTTGTATCTGTTCGTCGCTCATTGTTATGTCAGAGACGCTTATCACTTATACTCGGAAAGAGGGACCTCTGCGATTCCCACAACGAGAATGGAAGAACACAAAGACTGGTATAAGTGATGATTTATTTACCCAAAAACACTATGACGACGGCGAAGACCACTCTAGTAGAAAGTACACTCATTTATATACTGATTGCACACACATTTTGATTGATAATTAAGATGAAATCACATACTGAGAAAAGTTCATGTCACATATTATACACAATAAAATATCATCCGAGAAAAGAAAACAAAAAGTACATTGAGTAATCATCTTATTGAATCAAAACGAAATTAATTTTGAACAAAAACTCATAATGAGTAAATCAAATCATAAATTGACTTTTGTTTCCATCATATCGATTTGTAACCAAATCACTTATTCTGTTGTTTTGTACAATCTTTGCTTAATCAAAGTTCAATGAAGCAATTGATGAATTTCATTATAAATTTGTGTAATTTTATTGAATGGATCATTAGTAATACTGAACATTCGGATAATTCCATGTAAGTTTATCAATTTCTATCAAAGTGTATGAATTAGGCATGAGTAAGATTTGTTGATAAGTTGTATTATAAGTAGGATTGATCAGCTACCAGAAGGTTAACTTATCGACCTAGAATACGTAAATGACATTGTTCTGTTTAGTGAAGATGCCGCTAAAATACAGAGCATTTTGGTAGCAGTGAGCAACAATGCCAGGATGTTTGAGATGCTCATCTTCCCCTCTAAATGAGAGTTGTTGCTTCAGGACATGTCTGCATGAACACCAGAACTAAGAATAGGGAGTGCAGTTGGACGCGTCGACAACTCCACTTACCTTGGAAATCCGATCAATCCTAATGTGTTGTTGTCTGACAAAAGCTCAGCACGTGTTCGAAAATCCCGTTTGCCTTTTTTCAAATTACATCACCTATGGCGAAGGCGAGATATCCGTCAATCAATAAAATGACGAGTATACTGCGCAGCAATTCTTTTTGTTCTACTTAACGGTCAGTAGGAGTAAAAGATACCCGTGAGCTACTAGTAATTGATCACAGGTCCCTTAAAAACGTTTTCCACATCTGCTGGTATCACTAGGTAAATAGAATTGATGTGAGACGCATGGTATTAGGGCACGATGTTAAATCAATTGATGTGGTTGTGAATCATCAGCGACTGAGATGGTTGAGCCAAATATTCCCGAACACAGATTACCACGACGCGCAATGCTTACTAGTGTTTAGGATGGCTAGAATAAATATGTTATCAGCACAAAATATAACTCTTAGCACAAATGATTCTAACGGGTTTCTTTTACAAACACGAGAGAGGTTCTCATAGATTCTCATGTATTGGTTCAACAACAAGATGTACAAGATGAAATATATATGGTAAATATTTATTACGGCATAACTTGTCAGCAGTTTGCAACATTTTCAATGTCTATCCACAACCATGTTTGTAATGATCTTGAAAGATTCATCACACACCCTGCTCACTGCCTTAAGCAGTTTCCACAATATGGCAAAATCTTTCCTAAAAATCGAATATCGCGAATAATCGAGAACACTAATGAATAATAGGTTATAACACGAGTCAAGAAATCGTCAATATAAATGTCGAGCAATGTGCAAAGCAGGTAACCTCACTATATAATCGGTCAAACACAAAGCCTTCTTTCATATCAAAACCACATGGGGAGACGGAGAGAGAGGAAGAGATATGAGCAAATTATTATTCCGCAAAAGTAGCCTTTTACATTGTTTTCAATACGGAATCTCTAATAGTACAAACTTCATGATATTACAATAAGCTTTCTGATTGCATTTTGTGTTTCAAGCTAAACTTAGCAATTTGATATTTGGAAGGATTACGTATGAAACCATTAATAACAGACCATCGTTAATTGAAATGCAAAAACTCGTTCACTTCATTTCATTCGTAATATACACATCAGGATCATCAGTCTATTCAACAAAGTGTTTCCCATAGAAGATGGTAGGGTGATCAAGCTTCGACTGTATGACGTTGACTTTTAACCAAAAATATACCATAGTAAAAGAGATAGATTGACGTAAGTGACAACATACATCTATTGAGAATCATTTATTTGGATGAATGCATTAGTTATTGTTAATGATCTATTTCTCTGGATTGAGTGCGATAACGTTAATGACTACAAGTCACCCCACATTATGCAGTGAGCAGCCAACGTGAATCTGATGAGATCAATTTTCATCGGCTTTCAACGTTTGTTATTAATCTCGTAAAATTGATACAGCAAACTAGTGATATGGAATTCAAATTCTGTACATCAATCCGAACATGTTGTAAAACATTGATGAATGAGGAAAGAAATAGGCATATGAATGAACACTTAAGGTCTTATGTAATCCATGAAATTGATTATTTCCATTACAGTATTATTGTGATTTCTTACTAAACTCAGCTAAATTTGGAATTTGTGATTGAGGAAGGTGAATTGTTTACAAATCTCCATTACAGATAGTTCAACGATCATGAAATTGGCATTGGATATTGTTTCAGCGATGAAGTGTTCGAATAATTCTAATTGCACGTAAGAGATTTATCATTCCATTTGACATATTCAGCTTTGATCAATTTACAGAACCAGTTGTTCTCAGTGGTGTCATATTGACGTAAGTAATATGTTTTTAATACAGGTATTACGCGAAAATCATAACAACAATTTTCCATGTAATACTATTACGTATTATTTAATGAACTGATTAGTACAAATAGTCAAAGACTACGTATGTGCCACATAAATCAGTTGATTTGTGTGTGGGCTGTGATATTGTCCGGGTGACCACAGCGAAGCTGGTGGTTTTGTTAGAGAGCCACACTCGGAGTCACAAAGCAACGTCAGCAGATATAATCCAATGGCAGCTGGTTAATATCCCGTTTCTTTTCCTTAGATTTGTGGAGCCCATGTACATCACTGATTTAGAATCCCGGATTTCTAACTTGCTGAAATGGATTCAGCATATGCACGAAACCGTCAAATAATCGAATATTCGCCTTATATACTCTCGATTTCTTAAACAGCACCCTCGCCACAAAAAAGGAATGAATATTTCTTCCATGTTAGTGACTGTATATGAGTGTCCATATGAGAGCGTTTCGAGAGGGAGAGCTAATTCTCTCCACCATCCACCGCATTTGGGCGAAGACATGAAATATTCAAGAGATCATTCCTTAGGTATTCTCCACTTATCAGTTATTTTGACAAGTTTTGAAAACTTTCGAAAATGTCGAACTGAGTAGTAGGTGAAGAACTTGTTCAACCATTTTATGCATACATATTTTGTAGAAAATTTGATGCATATTACTATGCTTTATTGCATCTGTGAGCATCGTATGTTGTACACATATTTTCCTTTATATTTCAGATTTATAGGTTTACTTATTGGATTAATAATCATATTTATTAAAAACTACATTCTACATCCATAATGAACAGTATCTTCATGGTTATAACGGTCAGTTGAATATGGTTTTAATAGTACATTCATGATAGTTTCGTCCAACTATCGACTGAATTTCGTTAAGTGTTGTTTGTCGAATAATAAAACGATGTTGTGATGTTCGTTTGATAACGGTTATTATGATCAAATAATCTTTGATGGTTGAGTTGAATAGATGAGTTTGATCGTTGTAATTTATTTTAAGATGACATCATGTGTGGAGGCCCAGTTTCTATAGTTTCACTGAGTTCATAAAAATGTTGACCTATATTGATGATCCGGTCGAATCATGAGCTATTACTTAACTGATAACTGGCGAAAATAATATAACATTGAAAGGTATCTGTCTGTCCGAGTTATGGACAATTGAGAAGTAGACATGGTTACACATAATACCGGTACATTCTACTCTCATCTACGTTTGTTGTGATAACCATTTGAAAATGTAAAGTGAGTTGTAAACACCGAACAAATAAAAAAATTGAATTTGTGTCATTTTCATTTGTATAATCATCCACACATTTTGTCAATCACTGAACTTGTGTTCTTTGATACACCAGTGATCATTTAGTGCTTCAAGTCGCCGACACATTACTAGCTGTCCTACTTGTTGGTTTACCCAAATTGGTATATTCCACACCGTTCAGGTGAGAAAGAAACCTCATATAAAATGGTCATGTGTAATGGATGAGCGAATTAGCATTGAAGATATTTCAAGTTCGTCATTATGATAGACATGGATAGAGATTCCTTGTTATGTGCTTGTATCCATAACTATTCATTGTTAAGCATTTCAATCAAATGCAGGAGAGTGAAGATTATTCTTTCATCATTTGTCCAATAGTTGAACGATTCAACTTTAAAACTAATGGTAATTTGATGATATTACTTTTTCCCTATTCAGTTGATAGTTATGATTATTGGTGTTGGATTACTAAATTCACCTACAAGATGGTATGAAATAATTATTTCTGTAACTGTGGATACCACGTTGGCCAGCTTAGCGATTTTACTGGGTGTAAAGCTACGAGTTCCAGAAAGAAAATTGGAGATAATCTTGTTCTCGATATGGTGTGTGTTTGGGGGAATCGGAATCATTTTATTGATTATAGGGGCGGCACTTTTCAACGTAATTTTGTCTGATCATACTTTTCCACAACCTAGTAGTAATTAGTAATGATTATTGATTTGCTAACGGTTTACTCCAGTAGCTACAGCTTTCTCAACTAAATTCGCTGAATGTGAATACCGGTGAAAATTTTCTGTTATAGCCTGAAGCCGCCAATCAGAAGCAGCAAATTATCAATCGGATCAAGGACGCATAAGACACATGCTTGCAGTCTACGGTCCTCATAAGTCCTGCTTTCCGCTTAGCCCGGTCAGTTAGGTCCAGAACATCAATCTCATCCTCTGCAATATGAATCATGTATTTCAAATATACACTGTTTATATGATAGTCAAGCAGAACACAACGTAGCATAAAGCAGGAAAGAACATTTTTACAAGATCTGGCTTAATATGTCTGTGAATGAGGGAGGAAGTGATTAACAGACAGGAACTAACTCAAGAATGGTAATTTGTATAATAACAGTTCATGGGTCAAAATAAAGCTTATGATACGAGAGATATGAATGTGAATATTTTGCCTAATTAACAATAATAAGACAAAAATATACACAAAGTATTGGTCCAAAACTGGACCAAAAAGTGACCACTCATTATTCTTTTCGGGACACAACATTTTCCTACATCGAAATAGAAATACATTTTCAATTTATATTTCATTGAGGAATATTCCAACCAAATCTTTGTTTTCTTATACACGTTCAACTACTTTGAACGTTCATTCACATTAATTCGCTGCCGTAGTGTTTTCTACCTACAATGATACTTTCATAAAGTTACTTACTTATCCACTTACGGCTGTTACTCCCAGTGGCGCATAGGCCGCCTTCCAGCATTATCCAACCCACTCTGTCCTGGGCCTTCCTTTCTAGTTCTATCCAATTTTTGTTCATAACCCGCATGTCTGCCCCAACTTCTCAGAGTACTTTGTTCTTTGTTCTTCCTCTTCTTCTTTGGCCTTGAGGTTTCCAGATTAGGGCTTGCATTGCGACGCAGTAGGATGCTTTCTTCAATGTGCGTCGTATCCACTTCCAACGCTTCTTCATGATTTCCCCCTCCCCTAGAACCTCGTTTGTTCTTTCCCACATTAGGTTGCTGCTGATAATGTAGTGTCTGGCCAACGGATCCGAAGTATTTTGCTTAGACAACTGTTAGTAAACACCTGAATCCTCTGGCTTTCGTAGTTCTTCAAGTTTCATTACCGCACAGTACAACTGTGATGACATTTCTATTAAAAATTCTGAGTTTAGTGTTGTTTGACAGAGAGTTGTTCTTAGTTCCAGATGTACCTCATTTGTAAATATGCTGCTCTTGCTTTGCCGATCCTCGCTTTTACATCAGATTCTCCGTGTTCATCAATGATGATGCTCAGATATGTAAAGGTTTTCACATCTTCCAAATCTTCTCCGTCAAACGTGAATGGATTAGTGCATGCTGTATTGTATGGGAGAATGTTGCTTTTCCCTTTCTGTATTTTGTGACCTACTGATGTTGAGGCTGCGGCTTCAGTGGTCTCCCTCTCCTGCATTTGTGTTGCATGTGTAACAGAAGTGCCAGATCATCTGCGATGTCTAGATCGTCCAGGTGCATCCCAGCTAGCTAGTGGATCCCCTTCTTCACCCTGGATGTTGACGTCTTCATAGTTTATTCGATCATCCGAGAACGAGAAAGGGTGAGAGTAAGCAACATTGCCTGACACTGTTCTTCACTTCGGACGACTCTGTCAAGTGTCCGCCAGGCACGATTTTACAGTTAAATCCATCAAAGGAATTCTGTTTGATATTGACTATTTTCTCAGGCGCGCCGTATTGTTGAAGTAGCTTCCATAGTCTTATTCTGTACACACTATCAAATACTTTCTCATAGTCAATATAAATGATATTGGGTGATGAATCCCGTTCAGTTGATAGTTCCATAATCATCCGTAGAGTTGCAATACGGTTTGTACACGATCGAGCCTTACGGAATCCTGCCTGTTGATCTCGAAATTGGTCGTCTACGCAGTACATCATTCTGTTGACATCGCCTTTCTTTGGTATTTTGATTAGAATTCCTTCTTTGCAGCTTTTTGGTACTTGTTCTTCATCTGAAATTTTGCTGAAGAGAATGTGACGTGTCATTGCAGTTACTACTACATCATCTTTCTATGCCTCTACCGTAATGTTGTCTGGTCCTGCTGCTTTGACACTGTTGATTTTTCTAATGGCCATGCTGATTTCTTCAATTGTTGGTGGGCCAACATCAATTGAGAGGTCCGTGGGTGCTGATTCGATGTTTGGTGGGTTCAGTGGAGCTGATAGATTCAAGAGTTATTTCAAATATTCTACCAAACTGTTTCGCTATTCTTTGATGTCGGTGATTACGTTGCGTTTATTCCTGTCCACTAGTCTTTCTGGTTTACGATGATTTTCAACGAGTTTCTTTGTTGTACCATACGAGTGTTTCATGTTTTTTTTTCTTGCAGCCATTTTCGCTGTCATTGCTAAGTCTTCCACATATTTACGTCTGTCGGTTCTCATACTCCTCTTCACTTGCTTGTTTATTGATGTGTATTCAGCTTGCTCTTTGGCTTCCTCTGCTTTTGTTCAGCTGTTATTGATTGCTGCCTTCTTGTTCCACTTTTTTTGAATCTTATCAAGTGTATCTGCAAAGATCCATTTCTTGTGGCCAAGGAACTCATTATTTGTTAAAGTGATTGTCTTTTTTATCCCCTTCCAGTTGCTCTCCATAGTGGTTCCTTCACCAGTGATTTCATGTTCTTAGAATCACTAACATGAATGTTTCACGATATAGTCATTAAACAAACTAATTCGATGTTTGGCCAAATGTCAAGTATGAGGCAGGATGGGTAAATGATTTCGAAATTCTGGATCACTGACTGACTGAACTCTTACATGAAGTCAGTCAGTCAGCTACATGTTAGTTTAGAATCGGTAGAGTTAATTAGTAGAGTAATACTGTCTCTTAACTGATATTGATATAGATACATGATGAATTGAAGTGAACTGTTTTCTTTCCTTTATTCCAGTATATTGTACTAGGTGTATCCTGGATTTGTTGGTGCTGTATAATGTTAATTGTAAGTTGTGAATAAATAATAAAATGTAAATACAAAAAACAACCGTCTATTGATTATTATGCATTCAAAGATGTGGTTCTGTAGAAATTAGAACTTTGAAGCATTAGTATTTTCTATTCAGAACATCCAACAAGAATTCATCATGAAGCACTTTGAAGGATAGCTGAAAGCAAGATATTGAGTGGTGAAGTATTTGTCGCTTAGTTCGTTTCTTTAGTTGAATGGCTCAATAATCGACAGATCAAAATACTAGACACTTACTGTTCATTTGTTATGTATGGATGTGTAGAAATTGCGAAGTCGTTAACCCTATATCTGTAAATGCCTATTATTTCACCGATAAATTTGTTGATATGAATACATCAATAATGAAATAATCAATTGAAGCTAGACCACCATGGAAAACCTGCGATGGATGAAAGACCGTTCCGTCGTATTGTGGAGCTTCTCAGTGTCAGTGCGCATCCACAATCCCACCTCGCGATATTCGAACACAAAACCTATTGATCTTGCGAGCAAAATATTATGATACTGCTATAATATCCACAAAAATCCCTTCGGATACTAATGAATTAATCATCAGTGTTTTGACTATTACAGGTGATTGTATACACAGCATATTATTGGTGTGGATCCAGTGAAGAACAGTCGCATGTTATGTACATTCTTTTCTTATGGTCTTATGAATATACCGCACTAATTATCAGTTCACAATTTTGTTTAAATTCATTCATCGATTGTCATCAGTGCTCTGGGAAAATGAATAACACAATGATTGGACATTATGAATAGATGCTATTCCATTGGATGTTTTTATATATTTGAAGATTATTGTAAATGGCTTTGTTATTTATAATAGATGTTCTGTTTAATAGACCCTCTCCTTTTATAATCATTCACAATGTAGAACCACGCATATGTATGCATCAATAGAAGTTGCCATACCTGTTAAGCACAACAAGATAAACACTGAATTCATAGAAGTAGTTACTTCAATGGTCGTATTATTTTAAAAAAAGATTGTATATAAAGATAATGTACAAGAAGAAAGAATTAGTTTGCAGAAAGAAAGAATTGAAGCGACTTCAATCTCATAGTTTGAGGGAAGACAGAAAGTGTATGCACCTAATGCACGTGAACCCAAACCAAGACAACGTCAGCCGCCTTAATTACAACTAGAAGTAGGCAAAGAAAATTTCTTGTCTTATTAGTAGCATATAGTGTCTTTAGAACTGGATATTCACTGTTTGGATACAATAACATCTAGCTAATGAGTCCCCAAAAGGGATGAAAGTAACTTCTCGCATTCCACTGCTAAACACACCACATCTATTCTATAAAAGCTTTTGGCAATGAAAATACCTATTTAATTTGAATACGATTTGTATATACTAACTAAGATCAATGAAAGTTCAGTGAAAATATAAACTAGGGAGTGATCAATGCAATTACAAATTGAAATAAAATCGATGGGAGCTTAAACATATAGTCCGTATGTTGAATGCCCATAAAGCTTTCACGGTGTGTGCATCACCGATAACCATATAAAGCTGAGAAAATGATCTTTAGAATTTTCCTACCACGTGTATGTATACAAAAGTGTTTTGTTCATTTCCTTTCCCTACCATATCCTTCACGAACTATCGGTAACGAAAATGACCACTGTTTGCAACCCAATAATTTGGATAGTATTTTTAATAATACCATATCCACAGTTACGTTCATCGTTTTTTTGTGCTCATTTTACACATTATTCGCTTGAACCCCTTGCTTTGTCTTTAGGAACGCAATCCAGGACATAAGATTTATCGCATTTGGAACAGCCAGTTACGTATACACCTCGATGTTGGTGTTCACAATAAGACTTAAAACCAGTCCATATCGTTTAAAACACTTAAAGTTTATGCACTTCACTAGTGAGACTATATAGCCATCAACCTTTTCAAAGTATTGGTAAAGGTTTATGATTTCCCACTGTCTATTTGTCCGTAGTTAATTGGTCTCTTGTGCCATTTGTTCGTCCTGAGCAAATTCCCTCGACGTAACTATTTAGAGATTCAGGTACTCAGGTATTTGGATTGTGTAACGTATTAGTGGTTTATTCATTTCGTTATTCTTCTATCTCTTAAACACACACCGACCAAAAATATGTATTTGTTTGTATTTCAATTGATCAATAATGAGACTATTTAAAACCCTAGATAGAATCCACAAGTAATCAAGTGTATCAGAAGGGTTTTTCTGAATGGTTGGGATCAGTAGTCAATTGAAACAAGACCACCATTGAAAACGTGAAAGAAATCCATGGTAGTCTAGCCTCAACTGACTGGTGATCTCAACAATGTTTATTACACATAATGCATAAAATATTCGTTATGAGGATTCTTTACACTTTAGCATAGAGCATGTCGTGTTATAATTCGTCATGACTAAATGTTATTACAACTGATTGATCGATAAGTAATGGCCAATCTAATGTTTGTTTAGTCTTTCAATGCAAATCGAATTTTATCAGTCAATTTATTTGTAAGATCCAAACTACGGTTTGGAGTGAAGGACAGCTGTCGGGATGAGTTAGATACGCGCCCTCGCCCGATTGAAACCAAAACAAAGTAATTGGGTAAGATGACGGTTCTATAATTTATCATAAATTTAAGTGTACATTATTACCTAAACAAATACAACCACTCAGCTATCCAACCAATAATTGTTCAATTGATCAAATCTAAACTACAATAAATAAGAAAGTTGATACAGGATGCAAGAAAATTACCAATCACCACAAATAACTGTTATTCTATCCTGTCTGGATCACGTACAGATTCGTTCAAAAGGTAATAATTGGTCGCTCTATAACACAGAGTGTTTTCAATTCTGGAAGAGTGCTTCAATTCACAACCAAAATGCACAATTCCAGTCAACACAGGTCAAGCTATCAAAAGCAGGAACAAACCAAAATGGCTGCCGCCCAGTCTTAGTATAAAGTAAAACAACATAAGTGCAGTTCGGGAAGAAACACGTGGAATTAGTGAAGGTGTAGTAAGAGCGAAAACTATAATAAAATACAAATATTAACAATTCAATGTAGCCAAAAGGTTAACAATGTACAACTAAGAGGATCAATAGGAACAAAGTGCAAGTATAAACATAGAGGGATTTTCACAAACACACAAAGCATTCAAAATGGATCTTACATTATTGTGTGTTGATTTTGGCAATTGAAGATACCTAACAGGAAATCCTGAACAGTGTTATATTGATATTCTACACTTATCAGAAGAAATGGAACTGAATCTACCTAATGGATTCGGATTCGTATCATATAACTTCACAGTCTATGATGTCATCACTAAACTATTCAGACGATCAATGACCTTGTGTTGGACTAAAATATTTTCATAGTGCTTCATGATTTATATCATATTTGATCAATGTCATTTTTGATCGATCAGTACCGAATAATTAGAGGAAAGTGATTTGATAAATAGCAAACAACTATTGATTTTGAGTGAGCTTGATTCAATTCAACAAGTGATCGTATGTCGGGTAGAGACAGGTATCTACCTCAGTACAATAGAAGTTGGTCGCTCAATTTCGTGGATTGGTTGATGTTAGACACTATCACCATTGGATGCCGTCTCAGTGTTCCAGTTGGTTAAGCGTTCGCGCGCGAGACCGAAGGCCCTGGGTTTGGTTCCCGCGAGCAGGATCGTGGATGCGCACTGCTGAGGAGTCCCACAATAGGACGAAACGACCGTCCAGTGCCTTCAGGTTTCCAAAGGTGGTGGTCTTACATCAGTTGGTTTATGGTCTCAATCAAAAAGTTAACAATCTCCAAAATCTCTATACCAGTGATCGTGTTACATTGGATCACTAAAAAGTTGATCGTAAAATTTTAATTCCTAATTCATTCAGTATTTTTGATGAATCTTCAGTGAACGTTACTGCGGCCTAAGGTACCAGTTTTTATACTACACAGTTGGAAACTATTTTATCTGGGTTATGAGTTTAAAACGTTAAGAAACATTGTTCATAAACTGTTGTTGAATTAGGTAGTTAAAGATAAGCTTGATTGTATATTTATCCATCTTGCATCAAGTGAGGAGGATAAACAATACGTGATAAGATGTTTGATCTTTTCATGATCATTCTAATCTATTTTATTAAAAGCAAAAGAGGCTAAATCATAGTAATTTGAAGCAGGTCTGAATCTGTGTCAGACAAGTCTTGTTGTTTTGACTTGTGTTGTCAAATAAATCCCCAAAAGTAGTAAGTAGCTTAGCAAGCCTTAGACAATGATAATGATCTTAATAAATTTATTGAACACTCCCCTCCCCTAAAGAGATTGATCAAGCATTCCCATTAGATCCTGTTTAGACATAATGTACTACCGGTCTCCGACAATAAAAAGTCCTATACTTTTTCGTCACATGCCATCAATCTTGACTTTTGCTTCTTTTTTGACTATAATGATCATTGTAAGACAGTAGCCCTATCAATTTGAGAGTATCATTGACCTGTTCAAACTAAAAGTTTGAAATTTGAAATTCCATCACTGACAATTTTGAATTCATTGTAAATGAAAGGACAATTGTTATGAGGTGTTTAGTTATGATGTCATATTGATATTTTGTTTATCTTGATGAATATATTCTGGATATCTTCACAGCATGCACCTTTCCAAGTAATCAATTTATAGCTTTTTTCATTGAACATTCAGTTCAGCAAGAATGTATAATACGTTCATTAGAGCATTTACCAAAATCTTATCAGTAAGACATGTCTTTAGCAGCCCTCATTTAACTGCTATTTATGTCAATGAGCTAAGTAGTATGTTTGCAGTTACTTACTATATTCCCATAAACAAAACCCACACTGTAATTAAGAATTGTGAATGGGAATCAAAATATTTATTATGCATATTCTATTTCTTTGCTAACAAACGTAGAGTTAATCTAACATTTGCGTATTTGTCATACCACTTTAAATGGATGATAATTGAAATAATTCAAAGAGGTTGGACTCTTAAAAAATTCTATGACCATTCACTTGGTAATGTTTGGCTTGTATCTTCACAAAGAGGTTAAGGACTGCAGTTGATCAGTCTGTAATTGACATATGTGCATACTGTGCGCATGTCTCGATATTTCTTGATTCACAATGATGGATGCTAGCTAGCAGTGGAATCCAGTTTGGTGCACGTTTCGTCCTATTTGTTACCCATCAGCAGGATGTCCCTGCATCTCAGATTTCTTGATTTACACTCTGCGACTCGAACCCAGTACCATTCGCTTCAAACGCCATTCTATTACTATAGTAAATTTAAGGTCAAGTTGTATTTGGATAATGGAAATCTAATATCATCATTACTTTTATTTAAATAAACACTTTTTAGATAATTAATTCCATATATATTCGATATAAGCACACTTTCTGCTTGTAGTATGTTCAGTGGCAAATGAAGAATATATAATAACATTCCTTGGAAGATGTACAATCTCATGTGATGCATTTGAAAAGTTAAAGTATATTGATGGTCTCACTTTCTATGACACTATTCAATGATCCAAACTAACTAGTTTGTCTTCTCATGTACGCCATGAATGGTGGTTCGATACTTTGAGTTATATGGTTAAGTAGCGTAGGTGTTTACGCTTTTTATCGTTCACTCATCCTTTCGATTCCCGCATTACTTCACGATTACATTACAACTCTGTCTATATGAAGTTTATTCTAAGTGCACAATTTTTTCATCACCAATCGCACTACACATGTAAGATCTTTTAAATAATACATCTTGTTAATTTGGTTTCACCATGTTAATGAAATATAATAACTTAAACCAGCCTTCATCATCTG